TAATAGAGGAATGAAAGGTGGATTTCAGGTGAACGGCCAATCAATGTCCGTTTAGTTAAACCCGTAGAGTTATGTTGATCAATGCTATGGAAAGAAAATGTTTGAAGAGTACTGGGAAAAAACACGAGCTGATTTATGAGATTCGAATACTTAAACGATCGGTTGTTGAGACATTCGTCGTTTATTCGAAAGCCATTTTCCATGGACTTCCAGTTCTTCCCGATCTAAACAAATCGGAAAATGTGCTTGTTTGTATAGTATATACCAGAATAAATCATCTAATCACCGCACAACCATACTCTGCTTCCATGTAGATAAAGGTAAAACTCCTATTCCCGTCAATAGCATGTTTATTGCTGTCCTTTGTGTGCATGGGGGAATGATGGGATGAATGTGTGTCTGTGTGTTTGTGATATCTGAAGCATACGGAGTATGAGGTACACATTTGTCCTCGATTGGCTTCTCCCAAACAGACTTTTTAGCACATAGGCTCAATACTTTAGAGTTTTACATGAGCTGCATTACCTCATGACGATGAAGATGATTTTGTTTTAAAATCACAACAAATCGGCTTCAATAAATATTTAGACCTAGACAAGGAATAGCACACCTTATGAACTTATTCTGCAATTGAAACTAAAGATGGAAACACTCAGCTAACGGAAAACAATTTATTTCCGTTTATCATCAATCCTTCCTCCCTCCAAACGCACACACACACACGACGACCAAAAGCGTCAACACATCTGTCACAAGCTCGGTGTTCCGGCCAAATTACACGGGAAGGAGTTGGAAGATGCTCTTCTGAAAAAGCTTTCCGGTGATCGAAAAAAATACGAATGTTTACTGGGGTAAGCAAGGCGGTTTAACTTGTTATTTTTCGCCTCCTCTCTCTCCACCTTCACGGCCTAAGTAAACAAATCATTGTCATCCGATTCAGTGCCATGACTGACGTAGTGGAGCATAATATGGTTCGCCGGTCCAAGTTCCGCGGTGTAAGTTCCTGGCTTTTATCACTGAGCACCAGGTCTTCTTGACTATGGGTCCGCTCTTCGGCTGATCATTATACAAGGGTGAGTAGTATGGTCAAATTAAGGGGGGGCACTAAATATTACAGTATGTCCTTCAAGTTATACCGGCCGGAACCGAACATGGACGAACATAATTCCTGAACTGCGTTTTGGGCTAAACAGTAAATTTAAGATCCGAAAGGGAAAATAGACCTAAATGAATCTAACAGAATGAGGCCATTATACTTTGAATGGCACACAAACATTAAGTTTGCCGATCCGCGGGTGCAATTGAATAATGCTGCAGGAAACAGTAGAACCACTTATAAGCTTCTTGTCGGAACAGTTAAAAATCGAATTTAGTGGATATTTTTAAGCCACAAAATGAAGCGAGCTTTGTCCATCAATCATTGAATCAATCAATCAATCGAATAAACAGCAAAAGGGATGTTTTTTCCTATAGAGTCCAACAATAAAATCAACCGGAGTCACAGGTTCGAATCTTTCTCCCCGACAGTAAGAAGCGCCCCAATCCAATGGTGTGATTCATTATCGTAATAGCGCAGAAGCTGTATCATCGAAATTCAGCCCTAGAGGTCCTGTCAAATATCGCAAAATTTGTCTCAGGGGAGAACAAATAATACATCGTTCTAGCACAATAGTCAGCAAACCCAGTAAAAAATTACTCGCACTCCAATTATCTTAGGAATTTTATTCCCACACCAGATTCTCCGGTTCATCTTGATGTGATTGCATTCCAATGTGATGAAACCAAAACTCGATGCCGAAACCGAACAAAGTTTGACTGTCAAAATACTGTATTCAGTGAGCTTTTTACAGTGGTACCATACACTTGTGTTTCAACCCCATGAGGTTCAACGATCCCCCAGCCTCTAAAAGCTCTTTAGTAACATGCCTATTCTCACCTATAGTTTTAGGTGCATTCAAGTCCGTTGAAAACTCATCCATATCCGAAAGAAAGTTATACTTGAAAGGGAGTACAGGTCTAATCGAAACTGAAGCAACGGGTCCCTGTGAAACACTTGTGGGTTCGTCTAGGCAGCAGCATTTATACTGACGTAAATTTTTTTCCAAATAATAATAAACAAGCCTTGGTAAGTCTTTATAGCTTGATTTTCCTTTTTCGTTTATACAATAATGCCTCATAACAAATAACCGAGATGGCAAGGGACTATGGAAATAATTTAGGATAATTCTTGAGGCATTCCTATTAAAAAAATATTTCCTTTCCATACTTGATTAAGTTTGCGATTTTCATGTTGAGATCATTTAATCTTGGCAACCAAAGTCAGGCACGTTTAGTTGACAATCGTGCAGCCTACAAACTACGTAGATCAAAGTAAACAAGATATAAATTATTGTCCATACCTAAAGCATTATTATAGATGATAAATATAATGAAACTCTGTATGCTGATAAAGAAAATATTTCAGCCCACCACAATCGGTATTGCAGTTTGGCCAACGTAGTGCTCAGGTCAAAAACCCTAATTAATATGTCTAATGATCATTTTCACCTGCCGGATGGCTGCCGTTTTGTTACGCACTTGGTCGCCTGTATTTGAATTTCCATCTTCACAGATACCGGTTTCCCAGGGTACGTATGAATACGTTGTGAACAGCGTTTGTGACTTAAACTTGGTGGGTCGAACAAAGCTTGCAATGACCGTTAGTTCGCTCTTCACCGATGTTCCAATCAGTGAGACCATCGAATACTTGTGTACTTATGTACAAAGTAACAATGTTGAGATAGGTCTCCCTTTGGAAGACCTGAAACAGCTGATTTGTTGCACCTACAACATCCACTTTAAGTTCAACGAGATTTATCGAAAAAGGATAGCGTAGTCGTGGGATCACCGCTAGGACAGTTGTTTACCGATGTCTTCATGAAACTCGAAAATAACCAACTCAAATCATCCGTTTAGGATTGAGCTATACACCTGATATGTGGATGCTATTCTCTGCGTGACCAACACGACATCAGGAACAAACGAACTACTGAGCAAGTCCAGTGCATTTCACCAGAACATCGGATTCACTTTCGAAATGAGAAACAACAACAAACTGGCATTTCTAGACGTCTGTCTGAGCCGTAGATAGAATGGCTCGATGCAACGATCAGTGCATAGGAAGACGACTTGGAAGGGCCAATAGAACCATTTTTGCAGCTTTTTACCGCTCAAAGTAAAGAGGAATTCGGTGCGCTGTCTAGCAAATAGAGCAAGGAAGATTTATAGTGAGGACAAAATAGAAGAAGAGCTCCGATTCTTATGCACTAACATCATGTACAATGGCTATCCGGAAGGACTGGTTACCGAGATGATTCAGCGCAGTGGAGATATTGAGAAAACTGAGGTCAGAAAGAAATGGGTACGCAATGCTTTGCCGTTCATAGGGGATACATCAGAAGAGGTAATACAAAGGAGACTATCCGATGTTGTTAGTAAGAAATTATATGCAGTAAAGCTCAATGTGTTGTTCACGTCCCATCCAATTGTGTGTTTACGACTAAAGGACAAAGTACCGGATTCTGCCGTTTCATTTTGTGGGTACTCATTTATGTGATCCTGTGAAACAACGTATATAAGCCGCACGGTCAGGCGTTTGTCCGAGTGAATCCGTGATCACCACCCTACAGGGCTAAATACTGGAACGACTAGGTCACGTACTAGTGCAGTGGTTTCACACCTAGTTGAAACAGATCACGTTGTGAATGTGACTGAGGTATTTGGCTCCATGTATCGGATGAGTGGACTACTATCAAGACAGGTTCGATGTCGTGTAATTGCCAAGGAGGATGACCTAACAAACACATGTGCTCATTGAGAATCTCATATCCGGTCAGAAGATGAAATTAGCCCCAAATAACCTATGAAAATTTTTCCTTTCACAAAACAACTGTTTGGTTTTTATTGTTAAGTACTACTATATATATATACATATATATATATATATATATATATATATATATATATATATAATCACGTGATATTTGTGATGTATTGCAATGACTACGAGTCACTGGAAACGAGCTTGTTCGACATTGTTTGTTCTATTTGACATCTGAATACGTTGAAGGAACCATGATGGACCGACTAACAAAGGCAATTGCCCGGACACAAAATGTCCCGACATCGAGAGTAAGGCTGAGGTCCAAATATCTGTATGCACAAGATACCCTACTTCTTTCTAATCTCAGTGCTAAACAACACTCGTGAAAACCAATATTTATCATAAGTTTAACCCTATTCATTGTAATATAATTGTCCTATACTCCAACAAACTTGTTTCTAATGTCTAATTGAATTTTTCCCGGACTAGCCTTGGACTTCTATCCGAGGATCCCGTTGCACTGACCAACACACCACTGTCAAGCACATCTGCCCAACTTTCCAAGCTTTTGAATTACGGTAAGCTCGAGGTTGCATCATCACGGAACTACCCATTTTAATATCAGAACCCACTTGGCTTCAGTTCACGTTCCATCACAGAAATGATTTGTCAATCGCAATCGTGAGAGTTAAGATTAACCAGTTGCCGGTAAATACGGAATCATCAACTTTCTGCATAGTAATGTCCAGTTTGATTTGTTTCAAGTAACAGTGCACTTCTGTTTATTGATCAAAATAAGCATGCAATCAACATAACTCGACATTGGATCACTGAAAAGTTACTCACTACAATCAGATTTTTCAAATATATGATAATATTTTCAAGATCACTTCGATATAAAAATATATCTTCTTTTGTTTGTGAACCTGTCACTGAAGTTTATAGGATGGAGTGAACACGAGTAACTCGTACACAGCATGCTACCTGAGGAGCTTCGAGAAAGTCATCAGGAAGGAGTAAATCCCATCACGCTTCGAAGCATGTCCGACCGCCAACAGTCTGCAACCGCATTGGCCTCCAGATAAACATCACTAGGATGTAGATTATAACATAAAAACTAAATCGCAGGCTGTCAACTTTGGCAATGGATTGTAACCACATCGGGACTGAAATGCGAACAGCACGAAACATTCGCACGCGTTTAGGCGACATGGAGCACCTAACAGACCGGGATATTTTTTTTAGATGTTAAACAGCACAAAAGCCTACAGTTTTGAACATAGCATTCCCTCACCTGGTTACGGTATTAACAAATGCATTCAAACCTTTTACTGTTTCAGGGCCCAACGAAAGGGATTTGATCGTAATGGCCCATGAATTGATTATTGATTGGCCTGATAAAAAACTTCGTGAGAAACGCGACGTAAGCTTGGTTGCCTACGGTGAAGCGGGTCAAGGCAAATCTGGGCTGGCCATGTCACGAACAGTAGGCATTCCTGCCGCAATCGCTGCGAAGATGATCTTGGACGGTAAGTGGTTTGGTTCTCTTCGTATGACAAACGGAATGAGATAGATAGATTGCCGGAAAGAAAACGAAAATCCTTTTTCCATATGACTCCAAATAGTCAGGCATGCGTACACTCGGCCAGATCTAGCACACGTTTCCTTTGTGAATTTGATCAAAATTGGTTTTCAGCCGTTATGTATTTGGCACGATGGCTTCGGTAGAGTTATCCATCATCACCGTACAACGAACTACAGAGCGAACCTTGCTGTTGGCTGCTAAGAAGATACGAATTACCAAGGTCCACAGGGTGCAAGTCTATTTGAGGAACGGGGACAAACAATGCGACCTCCTGTGGTCGAGACATGAAGCATACAATCTGACTGTTAACATGCACCCCGTACCACTTAGACCTGATAAGCAATAGCAACAACCCCACTGGTATCGGTTCATTGAAGGTGTTTCCAACCAACCAGTTAGAGCCGTTTGTAGGGTACACTTATGTGACGACAGCCCGCAAGAAAATGACATTCGGCTGACATACCAAGCCACTCAGAACAGTACAACCCAAGTACCCCTCTCGCAATGTGTGAACATCTTTCATTCGAAACTGCGCGATACCGAGTAACAAATTACGGTCGTATGATTTCATGGTGCCCTTTTTCACTTGAATCTGATAAAACAGGTTATTTGAATATTAAACATCATTGCGATGAAACGTATTTGTATTTTCTGTTACGATATGTTATGAGTAGCCAATAACACGTTAATCTCATCGCGCTGACCTGATATCTTTTATCCTTCTATAGGTGAAATAACTGACAAAGGAATCGTACTCCCCTTGCAGCGATACATTTACAAACCGATTTTGGAACGTCTCAAAACAGAAGGTATCGAAGCACAGGAGATGTCTACTTTTGTTGAACTACCCTGAGAGACACCGTTACACCAATATATTTGTGTGCGTGTGTAAGGTTTAGCTGCTATCAGCATTTTGCGAATGATTTGACTGTTTCTTGTTTTCATTTTTACCGATTCTCTTTGTTTTGATATATAGTCCCATTCATTTGTACTCCACACAATGCACATCACTTATTCGCTCACGAACACCGACCTAACTACTTCATAAAAAAGTTTAACATCAAAACTATCTTCACTTGTTATATGTTTTTTGCTTTCCACTTCGTGATCCGGAATGCAATACGCCTTCGAGATACCCAGTCAACCCGGCTGATGAGCGAAATACCACAACTTTTTTTCACTACACTCTACTCCTAAGGATTGCGAACTAACATGCAAGACTACCGGATTTAAGGGAATAAGAGAAGCACACAACAAAAATGACGATAAAAAAGAGAGGGACGCTGGATGTGTAAACGATAAGGCGATGAACAGTCTGAGAACCGCCATCAATCACTGAAAACAGGGTAGACAGCGGCATTCGAGCAGCTTAGGAACCAGCTTTTTATGCGCACCAATTCGAAGCCCATCACCAAAGAACTTTAGTAGTAAACAGCTTCACTGTTGCTAAGTTCAATACATCTTTTCCATTGGGGACTCCAAGTGACTCATTAATCCAATTTTTCCAGATCTCCGGTTGCTGATCGCCCAACCAAGCACATTCACCTGTTATTCTAGCCATTACAACGAAGCTTTTATTCCCATGATAGCATTGAGAAAACGAGTCGGTGAGCGAACAATTTTTTTCGGATATTCCTAGTCATGCTCTTACATAAATTTAAGAGCATGACTAGGAATATCCGAAAACAATTGTTCGCTCATCGACTCGTTTTCTCGAAGCTTATATTGTTGAAAACATTAAAATCCATAATCTAAGCAAGTCTACAGAGAAAAGTATTCTACTTCATAATTATCAGCCGAAACTCAGATATACTGAATCAGCAGTCCTCTGATCGTGTCGTTACTGCAACAGCGAAATCTATTTTGGAAATTTTCAATTCGGAATAAAAAGCAAGGCTTCTATTTAAAATGTGCAAAACATTATGATAAAGAAGTAGATAAATGGCATGTATATATACATACTTTTATTTACAACAGCGTCTGAGTCTGATATCATGTGTGACTTGCAAGAACATGTGAAAACTGTATCACATTGCTCGTGTTCAGTTTTGTGCCAACAACGACACCACATATATCACATTTGACTGCGTAATATGTCTGGAGGCGGTCGGTCGACCGAGAGTGTAGTTGAGCGGAATCGCATTTTCTTCGCTTGTTCTTAGCAGGTTGAGAATTCGGCACAGCCTCGCTCTCGTCCACGACACAATTGACGGGAAATTCTGAGGTGTATTTTGTTCGAAATCTGGGATGTCTACAAATGAATGACAAAAACAAAATTGATGGAAGGCATCCTATAACGCGCTAACACTCAGGGAAGAAAACAATGCGTTCTTTTATGGGGGGAGACAGTTTACAGAGAGAAATGAATGTACAGACCGTATCCACATTACCATCGGACAAATCATCACACTGTACAATTTGCGCTTTCTCCTTCCGCATAGATATGTAATGTCATCAGCGTAACCTGCATCCCAGCTTTTCTCCAGTGGTTTATTCAATACCACAGTTTAGAAATCACTTAGGGCTTCCTTCAATATTTCCTCTAGGAAGAAAACTGCACAAGCATGGCGAAATAGATCACGTATGAACACCACTGCTGCCAGCGAGAAACGAGCTACTCGGTTCGCCGCATATCCTTGCTCAATCAGAGGCATGTGAGTACAGTGATCTTAGTAAGATTACTCACTTCCGGGATATATATATATATATATATATATATATANCTTGCCGCTCGTCAGGCATGCGTATCCGGTAATCTTTTGTCAGTTCATTCATATACTTGTACCCAGGAAGTGTATTTTCGTCACAATAACCTTGTTTGCAATACCGGGTGACCATTGGGTAGACAGCTCTTTCAGAGCCAATCCAATGAAGAATCAATGCTATGATTCGATGTTTTGTAAGTGGGTTAGATGCTACTAACCGCAACAAACGTGACCTGACGGTCTTAGGAGAATAGTTGATAATAGATAGTATGTGAATGACAGGACAAAATTTCCCTGGAAGCACACGACCGGTTTCGCGGTTCTTCGAATCATAGCATTGATTCTTCATTGGATTGGCTCTGAAAGAGCTGTCT